TAGTCAGTCAAAATTAGTCAAGTCAATTTGTAAACTTATTTTTCAACATACAATTTTTTCTAACTGTTAAGGTAAACTTCCGACAAAATTAGACAATTTTTTCTAAATCAGGTATTTTAGTCGATATGGTATTATTTTTTCTTCATTTTGAGGTAAGCTCCCGACAATTTCCAGCATACAATTTTTTTATTATATATATTTTGATGATTCAATTTTGGACCTGATTTTGAAGTTCCATATCATGGCTTTGAGAAGCCTTAGCAATTTTATCATCAATTTACGATAATATTCTTTTGATTTTCATTTTAATTGTAATTTCATTTACCAATTAATCTAGAAACCATTTATTGCAAGAATACCAATTTTGTTCTGTTTTTTTAGATTGTGACATACAGTATATGTTATTGACGTTTTCGTAGTGCGGTAGTCTCCTTATTTAATCAAAATATAAATACAACTAGTACTTTTTCTAATGTGTTTTTTGTTTTTAATTTTTTTTCAAATATATATAGTCAGTAACGACTACTTATTGGTCACTAATTGTTTTTTTCTTATAATTCATCAGTGACCACTATTGAGTGGTCATTAATTATTTTTCTACATTACATTTACTTTAAAGAGCAGCGTATAGTTTTGAACAAGAGTAGCAGTGACCATTATTTTTGGTCACTAAAACTTCAATACAGTGATCACTTTTTTGTCACTAAATTTCTAACATATTGACCATTGTTCTTAATCACTATTAGTTAACATAGTGACCATTATTTTTAGTCACTAAATAATTGTTATGATATGAAGCAAAAACAATTTAATTTTTTTGCATTTTAGTGACTGAGTTAGTGACCACCACATATAATTCGTCATTAAATTTGTAGGATTACCAAAATTTAGTGACCACTTAATTTCTAGTGACTAATAGATGCTTTCAGTGACCAAATTTTAGATCGTCACTAAAAAATAGTCACTAATAAGGATTTTTCTTGTAGTGATAGGTAGCCTCTGATCCTCTATTTTGAATCTAAGTGTGATCCTCTATTTTGAATCTAAGTGTGATCCTTTATTTTGAATCTAAGTGTGATCCTCTATTTTGAATCTAAGTGTGGGTGATTTGACCATTACTTTATACTAAATCTTTCATAATCGACCCCTTCTTCCCATTATATTTAACAAATAAGTTTTCAGACGTTACATAATTAACCCTTGAACTTTTTATAAAATTCCATATGTCCCTTTTTAATTAATTTATTTACTTTTAAGTTTTCCGTAACGACAATTCATCGTCTTAAGTTTGTTTTCCTTATGTATTAAAAAGTTTTATTTAGAGCCCTATTTTTCTTTTTAGCACAGAGCACTTAAAATCTCCGAGCCGGCCCTGTCACCGATACTTCATTCAATTCATATTCAATCATAATCACCATCTTTTCCAATTCTACTAAACTCGGTTGTATGCGCCCTTAATTATCGACATGGTAAAATTCCTCATATTTCCTTATTATTTAATATTATTATGAGATTTTGTTATTCATATAAACAATTGTTTGGCTCATGTCACGTAAAATTTGATTTCTCATCCCAAATACGTCGTTATGTTTGTAGTGTTTTAGGTGAAACGAAATGTAAGTTGTCACTTTAATCAAACAAAATTATATCAAAACACTATTATGTTCTAGATTTAATAGCGACATTTTATTTGATTCTTCTTTTTCAAATCCCATATAATTATTCCTGAACAAACCTTTAAAATTATGAGTTTAAATATCATTTTGTTAATCAAAGAAAACCTTATGTTGAAGTTATGTATATGACGTCTCTTAAAGCAGAAAATATAAGTTGACTTTTTAAGCCAAAAGAATTCACCACCGCGTAGGTCATCGACGACTAGCTAGATTAGAGTGTGCAGTAATCAACACACACATGCATGCACCCGCGGAATTAAGCTAACTTTTTGAAAGAGTGCATGATCGCACCTGATTCCATGGGTCAACCCCCTCCCCCGCAACACATACACACAGAGATGCACCCTATATAACGTCCAAAAGCTCCATGTTAATTCTTACAGAAATCTAAAACGGATTCCAGTCTCCTATTATAACATTCACAACAATGTCGAAAATCGTCAGAGTACTCTTCATGGTGGTCGTTTCCATCGCCATAACCATCGTCCTCATCACTATTGCCTCTGTCGGTGACAACCACAAAACCTCACTTCCCAGCAAATCAATGCACGTGAAACCGTTTCCGAAAAGGGTAAGTCGCTTCCTAGCTGAAAACAACCCTAGAGCTGCAGACCACTGCAAGAAAGATGATGAGATTTGCTACATCTTAGAAGGCAAAAACTCGACTTGCTGCAACAACAAGTGTATGGACATGAGCGAGGACAAACACAACTGTGGAGCATGCAAGAATAAGTGCAAGTTTACCAGCTCGTGTTGCGGAGGAGAGTGCGTGAATTTGGCTTATGACAAGCGGAATTGTGGGTCGTGTGGTAACAAGTGCATGCCGGGTGGTTATTGCATATATGGACTCTGCAATTACGCCTAATAAAAACATTATGTCATTTTGATGGATATTTAACTAATTGCATGTAATCATCATTTATATGTTCATAGATTCTTGTGTACCAAAGAACTTTTAGCTCAAAGTGTCTTTCACTTCTTAATTAAAGTTGAGGTTTCAAGTATAGATTTGCCTTTAAAAATTATATTACTGTGTAAATATGTTTTTTTTGTGTGTGTATGTGTGAAAACATTAGATCAACTTGTTAAGATGTAGAGACTAATTGTTTTTCGACTTTTAGTCTCAAAGTCGAAGATTGTTGAGTATGTTTTGGACTTGACTCATATTTATCGAACTTGGCTTTATATGCAGTTTTAGAGTTGAATTCAAATGCTTGACAGTTTTAGGGTCAAAATCACATTTCTAACTCTATATATAGAATCTTGATATAAATGTAACTCCATTCAATCATCTTTAGTTTTGTTCACATCTTTAATTTTGTGTTTGTTATTCGAGAACCTAATAACCGACATCATATTTATGACTGCCACGATGATCAACAAGTTTGAAGGCCACGATTTTGGCTTATTAAAAAGATGTAGATCGAATATTACTTTTACCAAATGAAATTAAACGAACCTTTGTCCGAGCATAATCTAAATCGATGAAACATGAGAACCGGATTTTGTGAACAATATCATCAGCAAGAATGAACTTAAACCCGTTAGTGCATGTAACAATGGACTTTTGTTAACTTACCCGGACAATGTATATATACCTCGAAATTACATGAGGTTACAATATTACTTGAAACATATCTTTTAATGATCTAGACAACAACTTGAGAACTCCTATTATTTTTAAAGACAACATATTATAACATCAAAGATCAAAGAGGTGTGACATCATGGGACCCATGATGTTATAGCATCATTCTAGGAAATGGTTTCATGTTATCACCCACTAATTAATTTTTTTTATAAAATCATTCGGTAGTTAAAAAAAAATCAAAAACCAATCTTACACCCCTTAACGAGAAAGGGGGCATTGTTACCCATGTTATATGTGTGTTGACGACTCCTCTCGTCGCCCACACCGCATGTTCTTAGTTTTCACGAATAATTTGTTAAGCTAAAAATTTTTGTCAACGTTGAGAAATTAATGTTGGGGAAATTAATTAGCTTATACTACAACATAAAATTTAGATTATAAATGTGTATATATGTAACTAGGCTGAACACGGTCATGCCTGCCTATGAGCAATTAATTCGTGTTTCGTCGATCGAGCACCGAAGAACCTCTCAAACACATGATGAGTTACATACGATTAATTAAATAATGCATTTTGATTATTAGGCATAATTGCAAATTAAGCTCGTATATGTAATAACCACAATGCCGCTTGTCATAAACCCAATTCACTCACTCCCCTTTACAACAGGAGCTCGTAAACTTGCATGTGTGCTTGCATTCTCCACATTTGTGCTTATCCTCGCTCAAATCCATACACTTGTTATTGCAACAACTCGAGTTTTTTGACTTTTTCCTTCTAAGATGTAACAAAAACGTAGAGTTTGCCAACATTTATTGTCATTGATTTTACCAAATCTTTACGAATGTCTCATCATTTTCTGTATCGAATATTTTTTATTAAAGTATTTCATATTTTATAATTTTTTATATTATCATTATATCTTTATTAACTATTTTTCTAAGTATTTGATATATTTATATATTTTTTGTCAACTTTATTTTATCATTGCATTCTTTTAAAATATCTGATTATTAGGTATCCCAGCAACAAATTGAATTGGAATCATTTCTATCTGTGGCTCGAATGCTATTGATAGCATGTTAAACACACAAGAGGTTCTTCATAGAGGAGAATACACCGTGATAAGAAGCTTTATTCGTGTCTTAGAGGTATGCAAATGAACCTGTTTGCTTACAAATTTCCCATTACAACATTAATTCTTGAGTAACTTATTTTTGATTGACATGCTTTATAGGTGGGTGTTGAAGGAAAACACAGGTGGACAAAGTAATTGACATGCTTTTTGGTGGGTGTTTGTTCTTATTTTATTGTATATTATCATGAAGGTGGTTAAATATTTTTATGTTTTAAAGTGAAGAAATAAAGAAAATGAATTCAAATGGATTAATCTCTTCAAATTCCGACTAAACTGTAGGTAATCATTTTCATTTTGGTTATCATATACATATGAAGTTCTTGATCACATTATTCCTTTTAAAAAATCCGGAAAAAAGAAAGCTTTCACCTCACAAAGCTTGGCAACGTCCTCAAAATATATTCCAAGACCACAAATACTCACAGGTCGTTTACCTTAAAAACCAATTTGCAAACATCCACCTTAAAACATTTCCTCCTGTTGTCAACAGTTGAAAATGAAAATTTCGGTAAAAAAAATATAACCCCACTACACCACACCAAACCCTAATCACATTCAAATATTAAGTACACAAACATATATTCAATAAATTCTTCACATCAAACTGCAGCATGTGGGATCATGGTTTGCAAGCTTTTGGAACTGAGTTTTAGAAGAAGATGATGATTTATTGGGAGTGTTTGGCTTTCGTAAATGATGTCCAGAACAATCAGAAGCATTCCCTGAACATTCTAGATGGTTGAAGACATAGTTGCTCCTCCTGTAATTGGGGGGATAACCATACCCATACCCATACCCATACCCATACCCATACCCACACCCATACCCATACCCGTTATTATAATTATAACCATAATACCCATTGTTATTATAGCCTTCGTAACCTGGTGGATATAAGTTGTTGTTATTAACCGAGGGGGAGGGCGATTTTGTCTTCTCAAACAGGTTCTTTGAACATTCTCCATATTGCCAATGTACTATCTCTGCCGTTTTTCCTGCTTTCTCCAGACATTTCAGAAGTAAGACTGGATCGATGTATCCTGAAATGTTAACCTTCCCGTTGTTCTCCATTCTGAAATTAGTTACCCCTTAATTTCACAACCACCAACAACAAACTATCAATCAACAATCTTTAAGGAGAAAAACATGATTAATTAATAACTAATTGTGTTCTAGAATGAAGAAGTAGAAAACAACATACATACCTTGAACACTGTTCAATACCTTTTTGACTGTCTTGGCCCAGGAACCTTCAACGTCCACTTTAATGGTGAAGTTCTGTATATGCAATAATAGTAACAAAACAGATTTCAAGATCATATATATCATATATGATTGGCTTTACACACACACAAGAGGCACTTTCGATATATATTTTAGAAGGAACTAACCGTGAATGCAGGATATTCTTCACTTTTGGACTTCTTGGATGCCATCGACGATAGGAACACCATGCCTTTTATAACTACTGTTACTCTTTTAATGAAAAAAAAAGTTTTAAAAATTAAAATTACATGGAAAAAAAATAAAGGAACCATCCTTGTTACACTAGATCATATATAGTGTAGTTGGGTATTTCATTCCCTAAATCAATTTTTTTTAGCCACACAACATTGCCTCAGGTTAAACTAAAAAAAAAAAACTATTTAGAAAACTAGTCAATGTTGGTCCTCCATGGATTCACCTATATAATTGCAGCTAAAGTTGCAAAAATAAGAGCTTGAATATCACTTGTAAATAATCCAAGGAACATGACAGGGATAGGAACCACTGAAGGTACTAAAGAAACAAAAACAACTACTAATCCATCAGCTAATATATTTCCAAAATGTCGAAAACTAAGTGATAGAGGCTTTGTGAAATCTTCTAAGATGTTAATAGGTAAAAGAATTGGAGTTGGTTGAATATATTTACCCAAATAACCTAATCTTTTTTTGCTAAGACCCGCATAGAAATATGTCACTGATGTGAGTAAAGCTTTCATTTAAAAAAATATCAAAAAAATAACAAATTTTAGTAAATGACCAAATATACATTAACACAACATACATACATCAGCAATGTAAGAGTTCAATTTTCGAAAAAAAAATACAAAAACAAAAACAAAAACAAACAAACAATCATATGTTACTCATTTATTAAAAAAAAGTTTCAAAAAAAAGATTATAACCTTTTTATGTTGGACCAAAATACCCTTATGCTCCAAAACATTCCAATATCACTTTCAATCTTGTTCGAATATATATATATATATATATATATATATATATATATATATATATATATATATATATATATATATATATATATATATATATATATATATATATATATATTCAGTAAGAAAGTTTCCCAAAGCATATTCCAAAATACCCTTACATGCTCCAAAAAATTCCAGAAACAAAGAAGCGTTTAATACATTAGTAGTTATTGTTTGAGTTCATTCACCGAACGTTTCATGTTGCATAATCATTGTAGCCTTTTCTCCTAAGTGGGTACTTTTATAGCCTAACGAGAGTAGCTTAATGGATTAAGAGCTTGAGGGCTTAAAACTAAGGACTTTTATTACATATATAAAATCATAACCATCACTTAGGGTTAAGTGTGCAACTTAACCCATTAAGCTCTAAATCTAATCATTAAGTCTGGAATAAGGAATAATCAGAACCACCCACCTCATGGTGGTTCGGTGGTGATGTTGGAGGTCCACGGTGGTGACATGGTGGTTAAACCACCAAGAAAAGTTTAATGCTATAAAAAGGCTTTTAAAAAGAAACATCTTGACAACCACCATGTCACATGGTGGTGATCTTGACAACCTTAACCCTTACTCTGAAGAGGTTGCAGCAACACATCCCACAGCCGCTGTTGCACGGTGGCCTCTGGTGAGCCTGGGAGGAACACCGGCGGTGACGAGGTGGTGATCATTTTTAATACAACACGCACGCACAACACAACAAAATCGGTGATCAAAGGGGCTGCTTAAATCACAGCACACATCCATCCTTGCACGGTGGTCTGTGGTGGCAGGAGTGGCATACACCGGTGATAATGGTGCAAGATGGTGTTCGGTGGTAGAAAGAGAAGGAAAAGAAGATGAAGAGGGAGATGAATACTTACAACAGAATGATCGTATAAAATAGTCTCCACCGTCTTCCTCCTCTTCTTACTCCGGCAGTAGAATTCGGCAATCGTTCTCCTCGTCTCCCTTTCTTCCCGTCGTTCTCTTTCTATCTCTCTCGATCGGTGGTTCAATTACTTCGCAAGTATCACAATAGGGGAGGATTAGGGTTAACTAAAGGCTTATATATGTATTAAAAAGGACGAGTAGGCAGCAAGAAAAAAAACCCATACATGTTCCCGTCAATGATATGGAGTGTTCTCGGATTTTACAGTCTAGCCCCTACAGTTTTCCATAACGGCCGTTTTGGTCCCAGAAATAAAACTCTTTCCATCCCAAGTTTTACACTATTGCTTTTAGCTCCTCACTAGGCGAACTTCCACGTGTTGCGTATATATAACTTATTAGAAGTGTTTACATTCGGGTAACTTCTTTTTTGTACACATATAGGCAAAAAAAACTTATTGGGGTTGTTCACATACAGTCATTATGATCGAATGTAGAAAATTACAACTTACTTGGTGTATATGCGGCAAAGACAATCACTTGGGAGGATAATGAACTATTAGTTCTGTTCTCATCTAGCCAATTTTCATTTTTTCACATTGGACCATCCAACTTGTTTAAAGTTGTTCATGTAATATCATTGTTTCAGAGATCTAAATCAGTAGTTGAAGTTGGGAGCATTCGCTCCACTCTTGTTACCTCAAGTTGTTGGGTAATCTTGACATGGGTCATGGGTTTATTGAAGTTATGGGTATGGGTAGTATTTGATTGTTTATTTAATATTTGAATAAAGGACTTTGACCAAGTTCAAGTAGAGAAAACGTGATGTATACTTGGTCACTGTAGGGTGCTTTTCTTTAGGAGTAATGAATAGTTTTTAGGCTTTAGGTTGTTTATTCCCGTTAGTTTTTTGTAGGCTATTTATAGCCACTTGCTTTTGATTAATATAGTGCAGTTGAGTCAAGATTAAAGTAACATCTCCATCTGCTTTCTCCTTTTCTTCTCGTGTGCAACAACAACATGGAACACTTCCTTGTTGTCCTTTTTATTTTGTCCAGGGGCAGCAGGGGGCTGGTCCAACATTTGGTATTAGAGCCCTAGGCTCAACATGTGGGATCTTTGAAGAGGTTCTATGTGAACCTGTTGCTTTTGTAGTTCTGTGTGAGCCAAAAGGTTGTGTGAGTTGAGTTCCAAAACAAAATCTGTGTGATTGGTTTTTCTTTTGACCCGTGTGAAGAAAAAGCTGTGTGCCAAGAAAGTAGTGTGTATTGAGAAAGTGTTGTGTGCTCAATTCAAGTTCTGGGTGAACAAAGAAGACAGGAACCTGTGCGGTGACACCAATCTATGTGAAGAAGCTAGTCAAAGTGAGAAAGAAGATCAGAAAACAATATTTCCGGTGCACCTGCAAGTGTGTGTGGGTGGTTTGAAGAAAGAAAAAGGATCGAAAATAAATCAGATATGTGTGATCTGTGTGTGTGATCTGAATTGGTTGGTTCTGTACAAGAAGAAAGGTCAAGTTAGGGAAGATGCCAGCAACAAAACCCGGGAGGATCAAGTTAGGTTGTACCCGTGACCAGCCAAAGTATCCCACTGCAATGCCCCAAGTTAACAACTACAAATTATACAAGTTGGTCAATTATGGTGGAGTCGATCTTACAAGCGTACGACTTATGGGAAGCGGTTAATCCGGAAACTGGAAAAGCGATTGAGGCAAAGAAAAACTTGATGGCAAGAGCATTTGTGTTTCAAACTCTACCTGAAGATATATTGCTTCAAGTGGCTAAGCATAAGGATGCAAAAGATGTGTGGGAAGCACTTCGTGTGCGGTATTTGGGAGCCGAAAGAGTTCAAAAAGCGAGACTACAAACACTTAGAACCGAGCTAGAGATGTTGAAGATGAAAGAGGGTGACACGATTGATGAATTTTTGGGAAAACTTAAGAAGATTGCATCCAAATTCAAGAGTCTTGGGTCTAGCTTGAAGGATGAGATAATGGTAAGAAAACTTCTAAATTCAGTTCCTAAGAAATTTTTACAGATTGTTGCATCTATCGAGCAATATTCAGAGATAGAGGACATGTCACTTGAGGAAGCTGTGGGGAGGTTGAAAGCATATGAAAAGTGAATCAAGGTTCTTGATGAAGATGAGAGTGATCAAAATCAAAACAAACTTTTACTGTCAAAAGAGGAATGGGAAGAGAGAACCAAACGTGGTAACTTCAATCAAGATCAATCTGGACAAGGAAGAGGTCGTGGTAAAGGTCGAGATGGTCGGTTCCAAAGTTATGAAGATCGAAGGGAACAAGGTATGTATCGAGACAAGAGACATATTAAATGCTATAATTGTCAAGAATATGGACATTATGCAGCTGAGTGTCCTAAGAAAGAAATAAAAGAAGAAGAAGCTAATATGATTCAAGATGATGATGAGCCAGCACTACTTTGAAGAATCAAATTCATGTCAAGATTAAGGGATTCATTGTTGGGTAATCTTAACATGGGTCATAGGTTTATTGAAGTTATGGGTATGGGTAGTATTTGATTGTTTATTTAATATTTGAATAAAGGACTTTGACCAAGTTCAAGTAGAGAAAATGTGATGTATACTTGGTCACTGTAGGGTGCTTTTCTTTAAGAGTAATGGCTAGTTTTTAGGCTTTAGGTTGTTTATTCCCGTTAGTTTTTTGTTGGCTATTTATAGCCACTTGCTTTTGATTAATATAGTGCAGTTGAGTCAATATTAAAGTAACATCTCCATCTGCTTTCTCCTTTTCTTCTCGTGTGCAACAACAACAGGGAACACTTCGTTGTTGTCCTTTTTATTTTGTCCAGGGGTTGCAGGGGGCCGGTCCAACACAAACCACTTATGGCATTCTTTGGTAAACTGTCAGCAATTATTACCCCTAATGTACTAATACTAATGCAAAAACTCTTAATATATATCACGTAAGAAAATATAATCAACCAGCTAGCACATAATAGCATATAAATCAATCATTTAAAGTATGTTAGTGCACCTTTAAAGTTCTAACAACTGAGTAAGCATATGGCTTAGTGAGTTCTTAGTTGTAAAGAAAATTGTAAGGTCACACATTATGATCTGATGAGTCAAACACATGACACACTGATCTATCAGCATAAGCTTCTACACGTCGACAATGCCAACGTATCAAGTTTACCAGCGTCAACACTTATTATAGTTATTCTGTGTAATCTTTGTACATTAGTTAATGATATAGATAAGTATAGAATAGATCACAGATCTGGTATCTTTATGATAAGACTGGTTCTTAGTATAGATTAGATACAATCCCGTCAATCATGGGAT